AGTGTAAGTTTGAGTCTAATGATGATCATACATATAATTCGGCACGATTCAAGACATTTCTATTATCATACCCACCAGCAACCAACACCTTGCCATTAGTTAGTACAGATGCTGTGTGAAACGAACGTCCAGTACTCAAGCTGGTAGTGTATGTCCAAACTCCTGTTAATGAATCATACAGTTCTGCAGTGTTCCAATAGCCATTAGAAACATATCCACCAGTAACTAAGACTTCTCCATTGTTTAGTAGGGATGCTGTGTGAGAAGTTCGTCCAATATTCATACTGCCAGTCTTTGTCCAAAGTTCCGTTGAGGGGTCGTACAATTCTGCATTACTCGAATAGCCATTGTAGTCATATCCACCAGCAACTAGGACTTGTCCATTATTTAGCAGGGATGCTGTGTGATAGCTTCGTTCGATACTCATGTTGCCAGTTCTTGTCCAAATTCCTGTTAATGGATCGTATAGTTCTGCAGTATTCGAATAGCCATCATAACTATATCCACCAGCAACTAAGACTTTTCCATTGTTTAGTCGAGTTGCTGTGTGAAAGTATCGCCCAATGCTCATGTTACTAGTCTTTGTCCAAAGTTCTGTTGATGGATCGTATAGTTCTGCTGTATTGAAATATTCACTAGAATCAAATCCACCAGCAACTAAGACTTTTTCATTGTTTAGTAGGGATGCTGTATGATAGGTTCGCTCTGTACTCATGTTGCCAGTCTTTGCCCACAGTCCTGTTGTTGAATCATAAAGCTCTGCAGTGTTCAAATAGCTACTAGAATAATATCCAGCAGCAACTAAGATTTTTCCATTGTTTAGTAGAGATGCTGTGTGATAGATGCGCCACGTACTCATGTTACCAGTCTTTGACCAAAGTCCTGTTGTTGAATCGTACAATTCTGCAGTATTCGCATTGCCACTAGCTTCAAATCCACCAGCAACTAAGACTTTTCCATTAGTTAGTACCGATGCTGTGTGTGCGGCTCGTGCAGAAGTCATACTGCTAGTATTCGACCATCCTAGAAAAAAAGTGTTCCAACTCAGAGTCCAAGGGCTTGTATTTGAAAGCTTTTTAACAGATTTGTATGAAATAGTTCTCATTTTAAATAACTATTTAATTCTTGTAAACATCGCACATATATGTGTAGTTGCATAAGAAGTACGAACCAGTACTGAGGAGAGGTGCTTCCTCAAGAATCTCTGATTCGAATATCTTCTTATTTAACTCGTAAAGCATCATTTTATAGAATATTGTTAACATTTTCAGCCTATAGACTTTACTTGTCCTAAGTTATCAAAACCACTACAGTAAGATTGAAAAACGAGTTTTACGAATGCGGTTCATTTTCTTTTGGTGACATTTGCAAAAGTTACTGGATTATTCCTCTACCAGCAGAAGCTACAATTCTCAAAAATTTTACCAAGTGCATATTTCTGCAAAAGCAACACCATCGTAGTGTTCTTTTGGCGTTCAGTTGTCAGAAGAATCTTCTGTTATACCAGTCTTACTTATAAATATGATCTCAAGTTCGCCTATTTTCGAGATAAAGTTACCACAGTTTGGCTGAGTTGATTTCGTTAAAATTTTTTTCACAAGCACTATCAACTTAATTGAAGGTGATGGTTTAATGAGGTTCTTGGCATGTTGAAAGTTCACGAAATAACATCGACCAAAAATTCCTCTCAATAAGTATCATCTTACAGATAAGTTTTTTTTTTGTCACAGCTTGCTAAGACATACTAGATTTCAATTGAGAACACTAAAGAACTCTTTCACTTCCTCTGAATTCAACTGGACTTCAATTAAAGTTGAACATAACTTAACATAAATATATAACATCAATCAGCTATTGTCAATCTTTTCGAGTTTTTTAATTTTAAATAGTTGAAAAACCACTGTTTATTTTTGTCTAAATCGCAACATCATCTGATGCATGCATAATGTCCACCAATGGGATGTGTTCTATTCTAAGATTTAGTCATCACACGCGTACTAATGTCTACTATTTCGCTTGTGATTATATTTCAATCGATATATGCTTATAGTCAAACAAACTTAACTATCATGAAGTCATATATCAACTGATCTCTAAAAGGTCTAAACGATTGTCATCACTAGTACCATTATCTTCATTCTATTCATCTTATTGACTTATCTATCTTCATAGTTATTTTTTCTCGAAAAAATACAAGTGATCATGAGCAAGGATCCGAATAGCAAGTGTACACTCCAGAATCAAAATGTACGAAATCCTTGCTAAATGCCAAATACACGCTATTTTACACACTGTTGACAAAAGCAGCGTGTTATCAATATACTGTGTTTACGAAATAAATATTTTGCTTTTTATCAAAAAATCTGTTTGGATATAAACTTGTATTAATGTCAGTGAAGAATAAAATGTACAACACGGTCTCTCTTGAAGAATTTTACTATCGGGTAATCTTTTTCTTTTTCTACTCACATTCTTTTTTTCTATTCTTTTTTTCAAGATGCATAGGTAGATTGTTTGTTAATTCAATATTTTCATTACATCAATAATGAATTTTTTTTATTCTTTTTGTTTCAGATGAGTGAAATTTAAGTAACATTAATTGAATTGTTTAGTAAAAATGAAGTTTCAGTAACAGATCATGGTTCATCTTCGTCTTTAGTAGAAGTCAGAATGTGGTTCATCATTATCTTCATTAGAAGTTCTAATGAAGATAATTATTGTAGAATCAAATTTGGTATAAATATTGATTCAATATGGTTCTGTGATGATCATGTGGATATGCATCATGAAGAAGATAAAGATCAAAATTTTGATTGATTTTTGCTAAAGTATAATGTTCATATGTACTATTTTTTCGCAAATATGTTTTTACTAATGTCAGATTAAGTAATACTTGGATGTATATGTATTGTTTATTTAATCTTATACATTTGTTTTATATTTCTGAACAGATATAAAAATGAACAAGTTTATTTTTTCTAGATTATATGACATACGTCAATCTATACACTTTACTACCCTTTGCTTGCGAAAGCTAAGTGTATACCAGAGATGTTGGTGACTGACTTTTTTTTGACCCAACCCGCAAACCCGACCCGCTTGACGGGTTGAACGATTTTTTTTTTGAGCGGGCG